AGTGACCAACTGTGACTAGTTCTGGACTTAAAAGCGATAATACTTCAGGAAATTTTCAAAAATCTGGAGTCAAATTCTATGCACAGTTTATAATTTCTTAGGACCTCATTTCGAGTTCTGGGAAAAAAATCTTCCAGAAAAACATCAAATGCAATCTGCTTTCAAGGTAGTTCTGGGGAATTCAAGATTTCTTGTGAAGCCTAATAGTTTTGAGTAGAATTTCAAGAAACCCTGAATTGAATTGAAAGCAACTTATAATGAAAACTCTTAGTAATTTCTGAGGAGCAACTCCTTCAGAGGAAAATTCCAAGGGTCTTCTGAGGATAATGTCATAAAGTTTGTGCGAGAAAATGAATCTGGGGCATAAGTCCTTGATATATTTTTGAAAACACTAAAAGGATGATTAAAATTAAATCTGAGAATAACTCCAGAACATCTTCAAAGGAATTCGTAAATAAATTCAGGAGAGTTTGCCAAACAAATTATGAGAAGAAATCTAAAGAATTCGTGAGGAGAAATGCCAATGAATTCTTAGGAGACTTTCAATGTGAGTAGAATTCCAAGGAAAGGAGTGAGATTCCAACAGAAATATGAAATGAATTTAATGAATATTCGGTGAATCTTTCCAAAGGGTTTCTGATTGCGGTGAATTTCAAGATATATCCGCGGAAAACTAAAAGAAAATTGAATTCGAAGCTTCATCTAAATGTTGAGGTATATTTCAATGGAAATCAGAATGGACTATTTTGAGGTCTTCAGAACTACTTGAAAGTTCTCAAATTTGTCCTGAAGTTAATGAAACTGGTTTGCAGTTTTTTTTTTGTTTGAGAAACTAGCCCTAGAATCTGAATTTTACAGGACTTCCTAAAGTTTCCTCAATTTTTCTAACGATCATAGAGCTCTTCTAAAGGTTTACGCTGAAGTTATCTAAACTTCTTTAAAATTTATGTGAATTCCCTAGTGTTAACCAAACTGCTCTGAGGTTCTCTGTTCTTTTATGAAATTCTCAAAACTTCTCTAAGGTTTTTGCAGTTCATGAAGCTTGTTGTACTGCGCTGAATTTAATTGAATCATCATATCAATGTTTAAGCTCCACTGAACTTCTAAACTCATGGGAAGAATTATATTTTTAACGTATCTGAAGTTATCTGAAAATCTGGGAACTGCCTTAAATTTTCAATAATTTTCTGAAACTAATGGAACTGACCTCCCCCTGAAATTTCCATGGAATTAGAACGACATAATTAATATAGTTCTATGATTTTCTCTGAAGTTCTCACGATCTTTCTGAAGTTCATGAAACTTCGCGTAAATTATTGGCTCTAATTAAATTTTTTTTTCAATAGTCTAGACTTTTTTGGTGGTATTAAAACTGCCTAAACCAATATTGAATTTCCTCAAAGTTGCTAAAGTTTCCGGGATTCTATGAGTTTCTCGAAAATTCTTTAAGGTTTCTACAATTCCTTGAAATTATTTGAACTGCCCTTTGATTCTCTAATGTGTCTTGATGTTCCCGAAGCTTCCCTAAAGCTCTAAATTCTATTGAGGATCTCAGTTCTGCTCGAAAATAAATGGATTACCCGTAATCACCTTTAAATTTCTCTGAAAATCTTTGGGCTTCTGTGAAGTTCCTGTAATCTTTCTGAAGCTTTCATAATTTTTCTGAAGGCCTCTGTACATCCCTGAAACGGAACATCTTAAGGGTTCTAGATTTTTTTTTGCACATTATGGAACTATCCTGAATTTACAAATTTACAATTATAGATCTTTATACTGCTCCAAAAGACGGGAACTGCTCTTAAAATCTGAAACTCCGCAAAGATCTCTAGATCTAGCTTTTCTGAGGTGCTTAGAACTTTTTAAAAATTTGTACAATAACCTTCAAGTTTTCTATATTTCTCAAGTTCGCTTGACATTTGTGAAGTTCTCTGAAATTTTACGAACTTCATAAAAGTTCCTGAAAATTTTTGGACGCTAAAGAACCGCTTTGAGGGTCTTAAAGCTACCAGTAAGTTCTACATATTTTTAGCGTGTTAACTTCCTTTATGCTCCCGCAGTTTGTTTATGGAACTTTACTGAAATTCTCAGCATTTCCTTTCATTCCTCAGAACTTCTCCAAAGTTCCTACAATTGTTGTGAAGTTAATGGACTGCAATGAAGATTTGTAATCTTTCATAATGTTACTTACTAATAAATCTTTGTTTTTTCATTAATTCTGACACTTTGAAAATTTTCAATATCTACAACTTGTACATGGAATACGAAATTTCAAGACATTGAATATTTTTAGATCTTGGACTTTTTTTTTAACTTTATAAAGTGAGAAATTAAGTAAGTGTTAAATTCAACATTCAATGGATTTGATTGTAAAGCTGTTTCTTTAAAACTGATTGCCACGTCTTAAAAACGTTTGGGTACATTGCTATTGTTTTGATCTACAAAAAAAAGACATGTTTTTAAAAAATAGCAAATTTAAAATAGCTTTCTTATCAAAAGACTAGAATTTATCCGTTATAGAAAACTCAGGTAATTTTATTAAGAAAGATGAGTACACACCCTGTAGAAAAAGAAAGACGTCACAAAGCAAAGAATGATCAATCTTAAAATAAATTCACCCTAAAAAAGTTGAAAATAGTGACTGATTACAAGAAAAAGTGACTTGAGTGACTTGGCCTTAAAAAAGAGATTTTTTAGTGACTGGCTTGAAAAACGTGACCAAGTCACTAAAAAGTGACTCGGTACCAGATCTGCACCTACAAAAAAAATTTCTTATAGTTCAATTTTCAACAACATTTCGTGAAATTTCTAATACAAACTCGATCAGGTATAGTTAACGGGAAAATATAGTCAATGAAAATGTTTAAAAATTATAAAATCATAAAATATACGTTTGAACAGTTTGACATTAGTTCGGCACTACTTCTACTAATATATCTTTAAGGACAAGATTGATAGAATCGAATCCACAAATGGCCGCTTTGTCTCGAACAGAGTTGAAAAAAAAAAGGTTCAAACCGAGATGTAGAAATCGGGCCGAGTTATAAAACCTTGAAATAGTCATAAATATACTGCAACGATGCGTTTAAAAAACAACATGAAAATACACTGTCCGAAACATGAAAGTTTCAAAATGAGCCTCAGCAATAGCCCCCTGCAATCGACTGCTTTCAGGGCAACACTGCATCTTGCAGCATGACATGGTAGCCTGAATTTGTTTGCTCTATCCTTTGCATCAAGTAGGCCAATGTTGCCAAATGGAGAATATCATCTATCTAAATTAATAATTAATAACTGATTATCCTGACGTTCAACTGTAAAGCGGTCTTCAACAAAGTAGTAGCTGACAAACTTTCCTATGTGTAGATATATTTAGGGTAAGACGGACAGTGGAGGTAATACGGGCACCTGATTGTTTGAAGGTTTAACTATTTAATAATCAGGGTTTGATCCACTCTTTATTAAAGATGTGTAATGGTATAGTCAAAAATCAATAAATATCCTTCAGGTGTGTGGCTTACCCCCATCTCCCCTAGGTATAGCAAGTTTATCCATCAATCATTATGGTGAAAGGTTAGAACGAGGTGAACAAAAAGTTCTCTTTTTCCATAGTAATTCCCATAGCCCGCAACCAAATGAGCTCAAATTTCGGAAGAATGATCAGGACCTGGAGGAAAATCAATATTTTGAACCACCCTAATGGTCATCTAAAGTATTGTTTTACAATCAAATTTTATCTGAATCTTATCACTTATTCTTCTATATTTGGTTTCCTGCTGAATCCAGTGTTTAAATCGATTGGTGAATAAAATGTTCCTTCGGTAATTGCACTGATTTCGTGTGCCGATCCTAGCCTGTTCAAAAAGATTAGCCAGAGAAAATTGTAAATTGAATTTGATATTGCCGGTCAATTAAGTTCACATAAAAATGTGGCAGTCATGACCGATGTAATTAATTCTTCACTTGTTATTTTTTTTTTCGAAATCCAACGACAATAAAAACGGCATTCACCCTTCACCAACCAAATGTCACACATCCTCCGGCAATTGCCATGAACACTGCAAGACTGGATCAACATCATTTCCTTTGGACATAAATAGTGTACACTTTTCTCAACGCTCTACCGATTCAGTCATTTAGTTTCGAATCGAAGGTTACAGCACACAAACAGTTCGACTTGCTGTATTGTACGGACGCGTGTACGGCTTACTCTTATGAAATTATGCAATCTATTTGCAAACATCGAGCGGCAGCACCACCAACAGCATCAGGCAGCAGCAGCCAACACTCACGAAAGCACTGTTTTCCACCCAGATCAACCCAGACCTACTACAGGCAGTTGTTCGTAGTATTAGCTATGCTAGACTATGAGGGACGTCGCCGTCCGTCGTCACCACGCATGCTCCAACCACTCCATGTTCGCGTCATAAAGTTCGAAGGAAGCACTAAACGAGCACATTGCAAGTGGTCACCATGGGGCCGTGGCGCGGAGGGGCCTCTATCTCATCGACACAGACTCCGTATTGAGGTTTCCCAATCAATTGCCACTCTCATTTTCTTCACGTTCAACAAAGTCAATGAACCGTTGACAGAACACCGATTGGGGTCACTCGCGCTGTGAACACAAAACTTCATCATCGAACTGGATCACTGATCACACACTCACACAACACACCACTCTTCGGTCGGAGAGTTTTGTGTGCACACACTCGCTGTGCAATAAAAGTGAAGTTAATCACTTTTACCTGGAACCTTGGTTATCTAACAGCCACCACCGTCTTCGTTGTCGCTTAAAACGACGACGGCGACGGCGGTCTTGGTGTGGTATGAGTGTTGCTTCACTTGTTCCAATATTGATCCCCTTTTCGGCACATGACTATCGATAGAGACATTTCGGAGCGACGACATGACCAAACTGACCGTCCAGTACCAATGAATCACCGTAACCGAAAACCGTTGATGAGGGTCGTGACCCCCTTTGAAACATTGATTATAACACTCACTTGTTGCGCTCCGTTTGATATTTGCTAGGAACAGTAAGGTCCTTCGACGATCAAACTGTGTGTGATTGAACTGAAACGAGCTTCCGATCGCTGCGAGGTACCGCTTGCGACTGGTGATTGTTTGGATTCGGTTGTCCCCCTACTATGAATGGTTGCTTCGCTCTGCTCCGGGCTGGGAGGTGGGAAAATATTGATCGCGAATTTTCTGTCGAGCAGAGCTCGTCCTAAGCTCAGCGAGAGTGACGTTTATGCTCCGGGGATCATAGGCGAAATTAGGAGATTTTGGAAGACAATTATTATTATTTAACTTTATTAGGGAGGCTTTCAGCCTTGGGCTGGTTCGCCTCCACTGGAAGACAATTAGCATTCTTCTGGGGATGGAAATTTTGGTGGAAAAATAAAAACAATTGATCCGAGAATGGTTGAAATGGAAAACGGCGACTGGGGAAAGGTTGATTGGGAAAAAGTGGATCTTGTTCGGGAAGGAGTATTCCAAAATTCTGAAACTATTTCGATTGGCATTTTCAGACGTAGGTGGTTTCTTTGATGTTAGTCACATTTACCTTTCAGAATTTATAGGCACCAGAAACAGGTGACAATAAGGGATTTGTATTATTATCGGACAGGTTTGGGCCGAAGGGTCTCATAGTTAATGATTTTATGGACGAAAAAAAAAAAAAAAAAAAAAATTGAAATTCGTCATGGTTAATTTTCCCGGAAAATTTTAGTTCATAAAACTGATTTTCCCGGACATCATGAACTTTAATATACGAAAAATAATTTGCAAGGAAATTTTCACGGAGCACAGTGGGGAAAAAGACGGTAAGAACCCACCTTTCCCGATGTTTTAGCGTTTAGGTGCCTTGCAAGGAATTTTTTGAATTGTTATTTTGCATCTTTTGAAATCGGCATATACAATTGTTTTAAGGTGGTATTACGCCTAGAAAAACTAACTTTTTGTAATCACAAGATAATAGGTTTATGTCTTTGGTAAAGTTGTAGAGCTTTGAATTGATGAAAGGTTCCTGCGACCACTAAGCTGCTACATCATAAGTTTAGTGAGATGTAAATAGATTTTCGTCAGGACTACCTTTTACTTTTTTGAATCATAAATCTTATCTCAATGATTTGGCATGTCCTACAAATTTTTCAATAGCATTAAGATGCACTTTTCTGGAGACAGTAATATTGTAAATTGATTCATTTGATTTGTATAGCAATTTTGCATTTAAGATTTCTCTGAAAATGGTAGTTTCTGACAGCCAAAACTAACGTTGTTTGATCTATCTTGAAATGAAGTACTAATGAACCAAAAATCTCTGTTGGGTCTGCTCGGGTACAAAGGTTTCTATTATAGTCTTTTTGGTCGTTTTGGTTATTTAATTAATGTTATAAAGCAGCAGAAAAGGTTATCTGCCAATTAATTCCACTTAATTAATTTTGATATCTATGACAGATACGTATTTCGACTACAATGTGCAGTAGTTTAATCCACCATCCATCAGGTCATGGTAATTCTATCTACCATCCATCTGATCATGGTAGTTCTATCTACCATTCATCAGGTCATGGCAATTCTATCTATCATCCATCAGGTCATGGTAATTCTATCCACCATCATCCATCAGGTCATAGTAATTTTATCTACCATCCATCAGATTATCACAATTCCTATCTACCATCCATCAGATCATGGCAATTCATATCTGCCATCCATCAGGTCATGGTAATTCTATCCACCATCCATCAGGTTCTCACAATTCATATATACCATCCATCAGGTCATGAAAATTAATATCTACCATCCATCAGGTCATGGTAATTCTATCTACCATCCATCTGATCATGGTAGTTCTATCTACCATTCATCAGATCATGGCAATTCTATCTACCATCCATCAGGTCATGGTAATTCTATCCATCATCATCCATCAGGTCAAGGTAATTCTATCTACCATTCATCAGGTCATGGCACTTCTTATCTACCATCCATCAGGTCATGGCAATTCATATCTATCATCCATCAGGTCATGGTAATTCTATCTACCATTCATCAGGTCATGGCACTTCTTATCTACCATCCATCAGGTCATGGCAATTCATATCTATCATCCATCAGGTCATGGTAATTCTATCTACCATCCATCAGGTCATGGTAATTCTATTTACCATCCATCAGGTCATGGCAATTCATATCTACCATCCATCAGTTCATGGTAATTCATATCTACCATTCATCAGCTCATGGCAATTCTATTTACCATCCATCAGGTCATGGTGATTCTATCCACCATCCATCAGGTTCTCACAATTCATATCTACCATCCATCAGGTCATGAAAATTAATATCTATCATCCATCAGGTCATGGTAATTCTATCTACCATCCATCAAGTCATGGCAATTCATATCTACCATCCATCAGATCATGGCAATTCTATCTACCATCCATCAGGTCATGGTAATTCTATCCATCATCATCCATCAGGTCAAGGTAATTCTATCTACCATTCATCAGGTCATGGTTATTCTATCACCATCTATTAGGTAATGGGTATGCATCTACCATCCATCAGATCATGGTAATTCTATCTACCATTCATCAGGTCATGGCACTTCTTATCTACCATCCATCAGGTCATGGCAATTCATATCTATCATCCATCAGGTCATGGTAATTCTATCTACCATCCATCAGGTCATGGTAATTCTATTTACCATCCATCAGGTCATGGCAATTCATATCTACCATCCATCAGTTCATGGTAATTCATATCTACCATCCATCAGCTCATGGCAATTCTATTTACCATCCATCAGGTCATGGTGATTCTATTTGCTAGATCACGTATGATCTGATGAGTTGAACTCAGACAGGTGTCTCTGAACCTTTCCAGAATAAAAACTCTCCGTTCTTCCGTTGTATAAATTCCAGTCAGGCGGTGGATCTCAGAATTTCTAGTCTGTGGGGGACTGTTTAGGACCATCCTAACGATCTTGTTCTGAATCCTTTGGAGTTTGAGGTGATGGCATTTGGAGCAACTATCCCAGATTGGCATACCGTACTCGATTACGGGAAGGATGATTTTTTTTGTAGACAGCAAGCTTATTTTTCAGGGATAGGGTAGACCTCCTGTTGATGAGTGTTTACAGGGATCTTATTAGGATTTTACACTTGGTTTTCGTTTTATCAACGTGCTCCCTGAAAATCAGTTTGCTGTCTAGTGTTAAGCCTAGGTAGACTACCTCTTTCGACCGTTGCACACTTTGCTGTTCAGGCAGATCTTATAATTCTCCGACGGAACAAGTCTGGGAGATTTAGAGTGTGGAAAGATGATGACCTGGGTCTTTGCCGCGTTGATATGGATCTTCCAGCTGTTGAAATATTCATACAGGACGTCCAGGCCTCTCTGAAGTTTGGCAGTCAGAGCTCCGATGACCCTACCCTTGTAGACGATGGATGTGTCATCTGCGAACAGGAACAATGATCCACCATCAAAGAGAGCCAGCATATCGGAGGTGAACAGGTTGAATAGAATGGGGCCAAGGATGCATCCTTGTGGAACCCCAGCACCGATGTTGAAAGCATCCGATGTGATGCCATTCAGATAGATAGTTATTTATTATCTTCTTTAGGAAGATTGGAAGACCGTACTGCTGCAATTTGAACACCAGGTCATCATGCCAGACATTGTCGAACGCTTTTTCAACGTCCAACAACGCCATGGCAGATGTTTTCGAAACAGATTTGTTCCGCCTGAGAATGTTTGTTACTCGAGTCAGCTGGTAGACGGTTGAACGACCTTTCCAAAAACCAAACTGTTCCTCGAGTAACAAGTTGTTTTCTTCGGCAGATGTTAGGAGCCGGTGGGTGGTAGACGATAGACCTTTCGAACAGTTTTGATAACCCTGAGAGAAGGGTGATTGGTCGATAACTTGAAGGAGAGGACGGATCCTTCCCAGGTTTCCGGATGGGTATGACTTTAGCTGACTTCCAACACGAGGGGAAGTAGCCAAGTCGGAGGCACAGCTTCAAAATCAGTGCCAGATGGTTGTAGAATGTGGAACTCAAGTGTTTGAGTTCCAGATTCAGGATGTTGTCGAAACCTGGGGCCTTCATGTTTTTACATGATTTGATATAGGCCAACACCTCGTCAGCCGTAATCTCGGATTCCTCGGGAAAAATATTAGGAATCTGATGGAGGTTGGTAGCTTTTCCAGCAACCTCAGCTTCGTGAGGGCTGACGATGTTTTGTCCGAGATTATGGGAGCTGACGAAGTGTTAACCTATCGTGGCAGCCTTCTCTTCAGGAGTTATCAGATGAACCACTGGGTCGCCGGGACTGTGGGGTCAGTGGTGGAATGGGTCTTGGCTTATTTTAAAGGATTTTGGTTATTTTCCAAAAGGGTTTTGCATAATCTGGGAGAGAGTGGATCTTGTTGGCAAAGTTCTGATTTCTGAGGTCCACCATCCTGGCTTGGATGGTTTTTGTTAGGCGATTACAGTGGGTCTTCAAGACAGGCAAGCCAGAACGCTGGTGTTGCCTTTGAATGGAGCTACGGAGTCTAATGAGATTTTTGGTAATTCTATCAAAGTTCAGAGTATTGCTCACCTGTCTGGATACTGGCACGTGTTGTTCTCTGGCCTGGGATATCGCCTCCTCGATGGAACGCAAACACCGGTCAACGTCTTCGGGCGTCTCCGGAAGGACTCCGTAGTCGACAGTGGAGTCAACACAGTGTTGGAATTGATCCTAGCTGACGCGATGGTAGTTGGGTCGGGAAGCATGGAATAGGTTCGGATAATGGTCCGAACTCAGCTCCTGGTGGGTCACAGGTTGCGAGATGTTCAATTATGCAAAGGGAGGAGGACATGGAAAAGTTCATATGATAATTTTTGCCTCCAATTATGCAATGGGACCACAGGGAAAAAAACTACAAGGGACAACCCAATGGGGTTGTACGCAATGATGACGTAGGACTACGTGGTATGATATAATAAATATTTTTGTTTACTGCAACAAGAGGTTGTGTTTTGTGTAGGAGTAGGAATTTTAGCGGGGTTCTCTCTATTTATATTTGTTTATGTA